GAAACACATGCATGAATGAGAGAGTTTGTACTAAACTCGACAAAGGCCAGTCTTCCTCTCCATACCGGGTGCAGGAAAGTAAGGCTCTCATACCAAAGTACCTCATAGCGAGAAAGAAGAAAAGGGAAAAAACAAAAAAAAAAACCCTGTCAATGATGGTTGAAAGTGTTACGTCAATGATAGGAGAATGAAAGAACGTCTCATCGAGTTAAAACAGGACCCTGCAAGGGTGAAAGGAGGATATATACTCTAAACAGAGGACATGCTGCTGGGAACCAACCGGCAGTGCAGAGAGAACTCAGGGGTACGTTGAAGCAAGATCCAACGGATGAAGTGATGTAAAAACAACCTGATATAGAAAATATGAATGATGGTTTGTATAAGTCACCTCATCTTCACCCACCGCGTTTTGGTCAGTGAAGTCAGTGAGTGAGAGGTCAACAAGTGGATGAACATCCGAACACAACCAGTTGTCTCCAGTGACTGTCATTGTGGTGGCTGTGGTATTAACTGCAGGCAAGAATGGGGAGTGAGATGCAGGCAAGAAAGGGAGAGAGAGAGAGAGAGAGAGAGAAGAGAGAGAGAGAGGAGAGAGAGAGAGAGAGGAGAGAGAGAGAGAGAGAGAGAGAGAAGATCTTCAACGTAATGCCAACACCTATTGCTGCAAGTTCGTCATGAAGGTATAGCACACAGAAAAACTCAATCAAGACCACAGACATTCTGGGAGGCAGCTACTTGGGCTGCTCAAGCATCACCTGGATCGCAGGTTGGGAAGCCGTAAATGGTTATGCTTTCTACGTGATTGGGAGGGCAGATGCAGGAGTAGGAGCCCTTGCCATCGTTGATGCATGCTCCACGTAGCAGGGGTTCTTGAAGTATGACCCACACACGTCCACTGCCACACGTGTACCGGGAGAGGCGGATAGAACAGACAATGGGGAAAGAGGCAAGATAAGGGGTAGATTTGAGAAGGAGAGTAGAGAGATGCAGAAGTAGTAGATGTGCGAACTTTGTTGAAGTTGAGAGGAGGATCTTAGAAAGGTTGGAAGTTTGGGAAATAGTGAATGCATTAGAAAATGCAAGAGCCCAAGATACGAAAGCAAGGGTAGGAAAATTTGCTGCACCGCCAAAAAAGGTTGACATTATGTATGCTGAGGCTTCTTACAGACACGAAAATGGGGCAATGGGGAGGAGAGAGGGGATATGTGGGCAGAATAGAGCGGGAATATGAGATACGAAAGGGGAGATTGCAGTGAAGAGTGGAAAGAAAGGGGGAGACGAAAGAGGTGAAATGGGGAGTAAGAGAGGGGAGTCAAGTAACCAGGTCAACGCAATAGCAAAACTGTCCTTGATGATGATGAGAATAGCATTGGCTAGTGCTGCTGCGTCAGCATTGCTCACCATGTTCACATAATAAGTTGACCTGAGATTCACATGGCGATCATACCTGCTGGCCTGCACTACTTATCACATTCATTTTGAAAATGCTCGAAAGTGTGGAGGCGTTTCATTGCCACACAGGCTAGGCCAAGCATAGTGTGGTATCAGTAGTGCAACCTCATTGCTCTACTTGCAACTGGACATACCATAAGCACATGTGGTGAAGCCATCTCCATTCACCACCTGTACAAAAGGCTGCACAGTAGCGGTGGGAATGTTGCAGGTGCAGTTATTCGTGCTCTCTGCTGTCACGCCACATTTGAATCGGCCACACGGATTCATAACGGGCTGCGGCCGATCTCCCTGGTAGCTGCTTTGACCACAGGGGTCCCCTGGAACTGGGAAATGATGGAGAGGAGAAGATACACTTGAAACACGTTGATGGAATTGGGCAAATATTACTCTCCGTCAGTTTGATCCAAGCATGTTTGAGTCAAACAAAACAGGGGCTCAGTATGGTTCAAAACTATCTGTAGACACAAGCAAAAACCGAGTTGCAATTCGGTTTGTGTATGCTCCAACTTGCAAAAACGCTTCACAGGTTGGAGCAGTTATGTTTGGTTCAACCAGGGAAACACATGCTTTCTATCTCTTCGAGCAATCTAATATTTCTTCCTGTTTTTCTCATTTCCACCATCCATCACAATCAATACAACTACCGGGTAAATGCCTCACTCTTGACAACGGGGTAGATGCCAGGCAGCACGTTGATGCCACACACGCCATCCCCTCCCTGAATGTCCATGCGTATGTGACCCTTGTCGCCCCACTCCTCTCCCCACGAGTTGCGAATAATCCAAAACGGAGGAGCAATGCGGTTCTGGCTGCCGTCATTTCTCGTAATGAAGTACCCAATAACGAGTACAACATGGTTGAGACTTCCTGTATAGCAATCAGGATCCTGGTATTTGTATGTCTGATGTGGCATGGGGTAGAACCAACCACAGAAAAGGCAAAAAGCACGAGTTCTTTTGCCAGAGTCAAAGTGGACGTTCAAGGAGAGATTAGCTCTGTATATTCCTGAGTTTTTTCAATTAAATTCTGGGTGGCCATTCACAAGGTGACAGCACGACGGTATGCTGAATGAGGGCTGAAGTGGTTCACTCACCCCATCATACATCACGAACGTGGCAGCAGACGCCTGGATGTGAACCACCACTGGCTGGTTCTGCACTGCCATCATGAGCCCCACATACCCCTTGAACCGCGCTCGCTCGCTCGAACGACTGCACCGGGTACGTTGTTGCCTGGGATGGGCCAGGAGATTTGCATTGGGAATGGGGTAGTAGAGGGTGGGAGGGAGGAGAAGAGAGAGAGTTATGGAGTGTGAATGAATAAAGGGGACAGAATAAAGAAAACCCAACATGTCTCCAACAAATCGCTGTCATAAAGTTTGAAACACACTAGAAGTTTGGTTACTCTGGGAAAAATGGCCTCGTTTCCTGAAAAAGACACTTCTGTTACAAGCTAGAATAACCTACGAAAAGCAAACAGTGTTGAGTCATGAATAGCAAACGGCTCTCATATCGCCAACGCGATTACTGGCGCGAGTACAGCTTCATGCCTATATCTCACGGCTAATTCTGTTTGCCCTACCGGGTCACTGTCCCCTGTGAGCCCACTGGAGGCATCGAGAGCCACAAGCTTCTCAAGGGCCTGCGTGGGGGAGCCGCCAGCGGAGCACTTTGTCGGAGTCGGAGAGCCCCATGAGGGCGAAGAGCGCCTCCACTGACAGTTGAGGGGCGCTCTGCTGCTTTGCAATGCCGTATGCCGCCTCCACACTCGCCACCACCGCATATGCCCAGCACGCATCTGAGAGGAAGGCGAAGGTGAAGCAAGGTGAGCCATGCAAGGAGTGTGGAGAAGTCTCTGATGGCACATACCATGTTCACATCGGTCTGTTCCTACAGTTTTTCATTTCTATCAGTTGCACATCGCATGCCAGCCTATCATGTACAGCTTGCCGCCAAAACTAGTCGGCAAAACGTCGGAAGTGCAGCGGAACAGAAAATTCGTGCAAGAATCTGAACTGGAAACCCACGATCCTCTTCCCACTTACTGCAGTCTCGCTGGTTCTTGACAGGCCAGCCAAGGAAATCCACAGAGTCCCACGTGTGGAAGTCACGAAGCCTCCACGCGTCCTTCTTGGTGGCCGAGAGCTCGAAATCCGAACTCACGTAGCGCGAAAAGGGGCTGCCTCGAGACGGTGCAAATGTGTCCTCCGATAGCGAGAGGCCAAGGGCTGTGAGGGGCGAAATATGTTAGAAAAAAAGGGAATATGGGTGAAGAGTAGTTGGGAACACGCATGTCGCATCTCTGGATTGGTGATGCCACAGTACTGGCTGAGCCACGAATCAATTTGAGAGACTGGATGACCCCTGCACCTGGGACACCGGCATCGAGCAACGTTCTACCATCAAGCACCCTCTACTACTTTTCACAGCCTCCGTCGGTCTCCCCTAGTGACCCACAGTAATAGCTAGTTAGATCATGCGGTGGTGGTTTGCTTGTTTCTTGCTGCCTCTAGCATCGGACCAGGATGGCATTGCCAGACTAGATAACTAAAAACTTATCGATGTCAGACAACGGAAGCGAGGTGCACCTCCTGTAGCTGCCACGTGGCAGGGAGCTCACCTTGATCTTTGAACAGGACGGCCTTGACCTTAGGAATGCCTGCAGGGAGATTCAGCAGTCATAAGAGCAGCCATCAGGTGGTGGTTGACTCGTTAATCACACAAAGAGCACCTCATAAAGAGGTAGCAATGGCAGGATCATTCTCATTAGCCACTGCCAGTCATTATCTACAATGCACAACATCCCAGTCTATCATGACACACTGACAACGCCAATGTGGTTGCCCTATCCTGTAATGTTCAACTCAAAATCAATGGCAGAACACCAGAGCTACCACCCCCACCACCTTTTCTTCACGCTTTTCTCACTCAATTAGTCGTGCCATGATTCCCATGCCATCACCCCTGAAACATATGCTTGCCTGTTTGCACGGTGGAGGAGAGAATGCCTAGCCGCTGGAAGGGATTCACAGTGGTGGACGCAACGAACCCAAACGAGAATGCCGGCTGCTTCACTCCCGGCTGCAGGACCGCACACAGCGACACCCTCCCCAGCAGCAGTGGCTCGTCTGGCTTTGTATTCGAACTGGCCAGGAACACTTGAATGGTGCCGGGATCCCCAGGCTCATAGTCCACCCACACCTTGTATGAGTCGCCATCGGTCAGTGTGAATGGAGACACCTCCTTGACCAAACACTCCTCTGTGCCGTTGATGCACAGCCCCACGTGCTGCTCGCCCACATCATTCGGAAGCGTGTCAAAGACAACGGCTATGCTCCGAAGTCCCAATCCACTGTACCCCACACCAGCAGGCTTCCCCACCTTGGGCTTTGCTGCTATGACAAGTGCAAAGCCATTGGACCCAGCAGTACCAAACTGGGGCATGAGAGAGAGGTGAAGTTGACTCTGAACGCCAACACCCAAGCCACATCCCGAGGTAACACCACGCTGGTAATGAAACAGGGTCATTGGCTTTCGCCATGAACTTCCCCATTGTCTCCTTCTTCGTGCCCTTGGTGAGAAACGCGAATGGCGGGAGGATGTTCACCGTGGGCCCTGCAGAGTTGCAAGGGAGGTGCAGCAGGACATATCATGTGGTCAGTGTTAAGCGGGCAAAGGAGGTAGTGACGAATCTTTGGTGGTGGTTGCTAAGCCAATCAGGAGCATATGCTGCTCTCTGTGTATGTTGCACTTGTAATAGATGAAGCTTACCTACTGAAGTTAATGTCGGAAAGATTGCAGCAAAGACGATAAGGAGAGGAAAGGGTTATGAAGGGCAAGGAATGGTGCACAAAAGTGTTTCGTCCGTTCAACCAGTGACTATATTGCAAGTCTGACCTCAGAAGCATTGAACTCGACCGAGTAACGACTGGGCAGTTTACCCGAACCGAACCGAACATGTGGAACCAGGAGTTTGGAGGTTTGCTATATGTGGTCAAAACTGCTACCCCGCTTGGAGTCAAAGTCTTTGAAGCTCAACTCGGCCCCACCTGTTTTGGTTCGGTTTGGCGGTACATTCACTATAGTCATGTATTTTCACGTTTTTGCTGAGGTTTTCACTCTGTTTTTGTTGCTAGCTTTCAACCAAGTGTTGAGGAAAATTCGAACCAATGCACCAGAGCCAGCTCTAGTAAAAAGGAAATAAGTTTTTAATACTCTCAAGTAAATCGCAAGAAGGTACTACAGGTATTCCTTACCTGGTGGCAGAACACAGTCGCCTCGTCCGTACCGCACTGATCCTGCACCACACGAGCACGTTGGCACCAAGCTGGGCCCGTCTGGGTAGCACACGCCACGACCACCACAGGCAGCAGTGGTTGGAGAGATGCCACAGAAATGCCATGCACTGTGCTGCGGGTCGCTGCAACTCAGGACTGCAGGCTTTGCTTGGTGCAAAGCAGTTGGCAGCGATGATGTGTCGCTGGCAGTTTGGTGCGGACACAACACCCGACAGGTAGTTTGTCGGACAGGTCCGCTGGAAGGAGTGGCGGGAGTTTCACCAGGGGGCCTGTGAGGTAGTTGTGAGAGAGATCGCTGCAGGGGAACGGGAAAAAAGGAACGGGAGGTTTACATTGTAGGCAGGTGTTAATCACACAGAAGTGTAAGTAAAATCAGATAAAATGAGAATAATAGTGTTACATGAGGTGATGGGTGGGTGGAAGTTGGTTTGAGAAGAACAGGAATGCAGGGGGGAGGGTAAGGGACGAGGATGAAGAGAAGAGGTGCAGGAGCAACGAGGGAGAGACTGTGGGAAGTAGAGGAGGGGGGAGGAGGAAAGCAGTGGGAGTCAATTGTTGCATTGGACTGGCTTCAGTTAGAAGCACCTCTCGACAGCACAACAATAGGAGCAAAGCATGTGAAATGGTGGACACAACCAGCAACAAATACTCTGCTTCAGATGCAGGAGTGTAAATGAGAGTGCACAAGATGGGGTGAACAGCGTGTGGAAGAGTAATAGAAATGTATGAGAATCGTATAAGTAGGAGCAAGAGTGGAAGGGCGCATGTGGATTTTTTTGCTGGCATCGTACAGGGTCTGCATGTCTGTCAGTTTGCTGAGGCTGGCAGGTAAGCTTCCAATGATCTGGTTGTAGGCAAGTGACCTGATGGGCGTGAAGGCGGACAATTGTCGAAAGGGGATGGATGGCAGGCCTGAGAAAGAGCCTGAGCCGCCTCTTGACTCGCATTTGCAACAACCTGAGCAACAAGGATTTTGCTTTCGACTCGACTTGCAGCAAGATGGACTAGAATCGCTAGCGGTGCCTTGCCATGCACAACTGCACCACGCAGGAGGGCTGATCCATCTGGGATTACTATATGTGGGTCCACAAGCCGCAGCACTGCTTGTCTCCATGGACGGTGACCCTAAAGGGTTGAACGGGGCCCGATCAAGCTAAAAAAAGTTCCCAACTTTTTTCTATCCTTCAGTAGGCTAGACACGTTTCTTGCAGTCTCCTTGCGAGTGGTTTTATTTCAGTGGGATGGGATGGCGTGTCACTTACAGATAACTCAATGCAGCCAGCTTGCCAATTTTAGAAGGAATCGTTCCGCTAAGACGATTTTTCGCCAGCTGTCTGTACATGCAATAAGACAGTTATTTCATACAAGCTGTGAGGTAGAATGCAGTGCTGAAAAACACATATTATGAGTCAAGAAGAAATTTGAGATCTCAAAACAAGTTTCAATACTATTTTTTTTTTTTCTTGATAATAGCTCGCACAAGTTGCTAAGTCGAACCTGGCCGATTTGAAGAAAACCAAAAACCGCATTCAACCGGCTCAATCTGATGTGGCTCGCCAATTGGTTCAACCAGGTGGGCAACAAAAATTTCAAACCATCAAATCTCTTCGATGCGATCCAAAACCGCGGGAGCGATTGTGCGCTGTGCGATGTGGAGTGCTAACGCATCAGAGGCCTGGGTTCACGCGGCTCACAGATTAGCGAGAGACACAAGTGCAGACATTGTTTCTGGCAGGCTGCCTTCTAGCTCGTTTTGCTGCAAGAAGCTGCCATGCAGTGCCACAAAAAAAAACACAAAAAACTAACCCACGTGTGAACATGTGCACAAGGCCAGGAAGTCACTAGAAGCTTCAGACGATCTCCAGAAGAGATGAGGTTAATAAAAGAGGGAGGCAGTCTCCTTGCAGACAACGTAAATTTGATCTAAGGTGCTTCTCGTTTTTACTCCTCTGCTGTGAGCAGCTGTGGAGGTCTGCGTTGGTACTTGGGACTCATGCGACCCTGCGCTAAAAGCGATGGCTGAAAGCCACATCCAAACTCTCTGAAAGCATACCCATGTTGCAACCTGCTTCATTGCTTAATGTGCACAAAAGGAATGAATGACCAGAGTCCGTAAACAGCAAGTTGAACCACACAAGAACGCCCCAAACATTTCCTCTCGGGGGTCAAACCCGCCATAACCTGATCCTTTGAGTCTGCCAACCTAATACTTAATAACTCACTGCACATGGCGCACACATACTACCTCGATGGAGAGAAGATCATAACATAGGAAGGGGCATGGATGGGATGGAGTGGAGATGATCGGAATGCTAAAGAGTGGAGGCGAGGGGAAATACAAAAGGCAGAAACAAACCAGAAGGGACTTACAGCGCCACTAGATTCACAAGATTGCCGATTGCAGGCGAAACTGTGCCATTGAGCTTATTCTCATTGAGATACCTGTAATGATACATATACAAGAAACGCGTATGCAGTACATAAAAAGGAAGGGTTTCAAGCTCGCACGGAAGAAATGAAAAGACAGAAAAGCAGAGAGGGGGCCAACCAGATTGGTATGCCAACAATAACAGGAGAGCACTGAAGCACAGCGTAGGCACAAGGAAGATTCGAGCTTGAGCCGGTTCGGGTCAAACTTGGCCGAATTGGCAGGTCTAGTCAAACCGTCCCGGATGGGTTCGGGCAGAACCAGCTCCAGCTCACAATTTAAACTAGACTGAGTGCTGGTCGGGTAGTTAAATGGACCCGACAATGGAGAACATCGGTGCGGGCTGGCATTGAGGAGGAGACGAAGCGGAGAGGATACGTGCACAAGGGAGGGAGAGCACGGAAGAGAGCTTTGCAGGAAGCTTTACAGCCTTTGCAGGTTCGTAAGCTCGTAGAGTTCGTCCGGGATTGAGCCCGTCAGCTGATTGCCCGAGAGGAATCTGCAGCAATAAACGCAAATGAGCATGTGATACAGGGAGCGTATTCTGTGTAGACAGCAGCATATTCATGCGATCCGGTCTGAGCTGAACTCGAGCTTCAAACAAATTCCGTTTCATTTCGTGACAAAGCAGTTTGCGTCTAAGTAAACAAGGCACAATGCGTTGAGCTGATTTAACATCCCCAAAATCCTTGTGTGTTACCATACATAATCAGAGCAGATGAAACATCTTTAAGCGCACTGTTGGTGCTGGTGGTGGTAAGTGGAGCTGCTACGAGACCATTGAACGGATGGAAAGGAAAGCATCAGTGTGGACAAGTGTCAAGACGGCGAGAAGCGGTGGAGAGGAGAAGCGGTGGAGAGGAGGGGGCGCACAAGTTAGAAAGGACAGGCAAGCAACAGCTTTGCAGGACGCCTTACAGCATTGTGAGAGTTCTAAGTTCACTGATTGCAGCAGGAATTGAGCCATTGAGTTGACTGTTATAAAGGGATCTGCAAAAATGACACATATGTGCATGCATGTGTAGTGGTGATAAGTGGACTTAATAGGAGAGGATGCAATGGAAGAAGAAGCAACAGAGAGAACATGCGTGAGGACTGGCATCAAGAGGAGCAGAACTGGTGGGAATAAAGCAATTGCGTTGCAGGAGACCGTACAGGCTTCGCAGGTCTTGAAAAATTACTGATTCCATCGGGAATGGAGCCAAAACAGCTTATTGTCTGCGAGAGATCTGCAACGAGATGGACAAACGGCCACATGGTAGGTAGATATTGGAAGCCAGTTATTCCATGGAAGTGGGCTAGCATAGCAGCATATGAGATTGTGCATGCTGCATATGTAGCCATTGAGTGTGTAAACGTGTTTATATACTGACATTGTGGGAGGCCTTGTTGCGGACTAGCCTCGAGGGTAGGAGAAGTGGTGGAAGAGTGGAGGGGTGCAGAAGGTGGATCAGAGCGCAGCCAAAAAACAATGTTGCAGAAGGTCTTACAAGGATGTGAGTGCTTGAAGATTGCTCAATACATCTGGGATCGAGAAGCGGAAATTATTTTTGGTGAGATCCCTGCAACAATGAACACAGATAAGCATGTGGCGGTGGTACATGGACCATATATTCAAGAGAATGGAATGGAAGAGAGATTAACGGAGGCCATGGGTGTGGACTAGCATCAACGAGAGGCGCTCAAGATAGGGCAGAACAAAACAACGGGCTTGCAGGATGCTGTACAGGTATTGCAGGTTGGAAATTCTGCTGATGCCAATTGGGATGGAGCCATACAGACGATTCTGCAGGAGATTTCTG